GCTGGAGTCCATCAGCTCTTAACAGGAGAATTAAATCACAAAATACCTATGTTTATTATTTTTGAAAACGAATTTCAACAACACCTCCAAACTATTTTCTATTGTAATAATTCCAAAGCCATAAAGACTATCAGTATTTGTAAAGAATTTAATGTATTCCTTTTGTAACTTAAGTCCCTACATTATTCTTCCTCGTGTCCTTTCTGATTTATTTATGCCCTGATCCACTCTGCTGTATCAAATGCCTGAAGTACTAATAAAGCATTTAATAATAAAGCTGTCGCCGATTGGGCCAAATGCTTAACATTTATTATTATTATTATTACTATTAATATCATCATCATCATCATCATCATCATCATAATATTCACATCTTGCAAGAGATATAAGCTGCCTGCATGTAAAAACAATACATATTAAAAAAAAAATAAAAAAAAACTGACCGGCCCACATTTAAAAAATGGTCCGGCCCTTCTGGCATTTGCCAGAATTGCCAGATGGCCAATCCGCCCCTGGTCCCTGGTGTGTTCCGTCTGTTCCTTCTGTCCTTGTACTGTCCCTGGTGTGTTCCGTCTGTTCCCTCATGTCCTTGACCTGTCTCTGGTGTGTTCGATCTGTTCCCTCTGTCCTTGTACTGTCTCTGGTGTGTTCCGTCTATTCCCTCTGTCCTTGAACTGTCCCTGGTGTGTTCCGTCTGTTCCCTCTGTCCGTGAACTGTCCCTGGTGTGTTCGATCTGTTCCCTCTGTCCTTGTACTGTTTCTGGTGTGTTCCGTCTGTTCCCTCTGTCCTTGAACTGTCCCTGGTGTGTTCCATCTGTTCCCTCTGTCCTTGTACTGTTTCTGGTGTGTTCCATCTGTTCCCTCTGTCCTTGAACTGTCTCTGGTGTGTTCCATCTGTTCCCTGGGCCACTGCATAGCTCAGGGGATACAGTGTGCGGCACAGAGGCTGTTGTCGGTTTGAAGCCAACCTCACCTGTTTTGTTTATTTGGTTTTCTGTTTTTCCTAGTGTTTAGTCCTTTGCTTCTCTGTTTTGGTTTATCCTTAGTTTGATATTGTTTATCCCTGTGTTTAATTAGTCTTGTTTATGATTCTCTGTCCCTGCTTTGCATTTTATTCCTAGTGAATAATTTCCAGTTAATGTTTCCTAGTTTTTGATATTTTCAAAGCTCCCTAATTTCTGTGCCCATTAGTTATTAGTTCCACCTGTTGCCCGTTTCCTTGTGCTGGTGTTTGTTGATTGTCTTACACCTGTTCCTTGTTTGTCCCAGTTTTCTATGTATATTTAAGTGCCTGCCCTGCTTTGCTCTCCAGTGAGTTGTTGAATGTATTGGATGTGTGTTAAGTCATGGTTTCTTCAGTTTGTTAACCAGTGTTCTGCTCTCTTTCTCTTGTCCCCCCTCTGTTTTTGTTTTGAACCCTTGTGGTCCTGTTATCTTTCTTATTGGTTCCCACTGTGTTTCAGTTCTCCCAGTTAAACCCTTGTCACTTAAAGCCGTAGGTAGATCATCACATCCTTTCCTGCCCGCATTAAGCCTGAATCCGTAACATATTCCGGCACATTCCAGGCCCGAGCTACAAGTCTCAGCTTTGGTGTCTGTCTTTCCAGCCCCAGTTTTTTGTGCTCATTCCCGCTCCTGCTGTCGTTTCCTCATTCCATGCATATACTGAGCCGTCTCTATT